GATCCTTGCTGTGGACTGAAGGGAAGATCTGCAAAGTCACAGGATGCTCTGGTAACTCTCCCTGGTGCTCGAGGCATGATGTGAGCAGGTCATGCCAAGAGGAAAAGAAGCCTGGCCACGTGTTGCAGGCACACGGGACAGAGGATTTCTGGCTGCAGCTCCACGGTGCCTGGCACAGCCACTGTGCTGGGAAGGAGCCACGTGCTGCTGGAAGCAGCCAGGCAAGAGTGACTCTGGCAAAAACACAGCTGGGATGGCAGCAGCAGCAACTGGTGAGGAGCAGGGGGGATGTGAGCCAGAGCAGAGGAGCTCTGCACATCTCTGCCTTGAGATTACAGCCCGCTGACACTGTCCCCTCTTTGCTCCAGGCTCCCTGCTGCTTTTCCCAGAGAAATAAAATGCATTGGGAAAGTGTGGGTGTGTGTGGGTGGGTGTGGGTGTGGGTGTGGTTTTGGACAAAAAAACCTGGCTCAGGTGAGGCCAGGCTGGCAGTGAAGCAGAGGTGAGGAATTGCCAATGGCGGGACAGAGAGAGCCCTGGGGAAGGTTTGGGAAGGTTTGGGAAGGTTTGGGAAGGTTTGGGAAGGGAAGGGAAGGGAAGGGAAGGGAAGGGAAGGGAAGGGGTCAGGCAAAGGCTCTGTCATTTTGGGCACCACAGCAGCTCAGCCAGAAGAGACACAAAGCCATGGGAAAAGCCATGCTCACCCCGGGGTGCTTGATCCTGGGACACGGGGAAGTGCCAGATCCACGTGGAGCCTGAGCACAGGAGTGGGATTGGGCTGTCCCAGTAAAGTCCTCCTCACCAAGGCTGCCACAGCCCCTCTGCCCACTCTGCCCCTGGCACAAGCCACCAGCTGAGCCCTCTGCCCCCTCAGGCCACTTTTCTGCCTCTCCCCTCCGATGGGGCAGTGCAAGGACAGGTATCTGGCCAGCACTAGGTGAGATATTTCATATTGCAGAGCTCTTCCCAGGGTTATGCAATAGCCTCTCAGCCCAGCTCCGTGTGTGTACTCGGATGTCTTCATGCTGCTCTGTATCTAATTTAATTACGTGCTTCCTGTCTCATTTAGCTCAGCAGCCTCCCGCGGCTCCGGCTCCGTTGCCTCCATTATCAGCCTTTGTTTTGGAATAATACAAAAAAACTCATCTGTGTCGCAAGGCCTGGGGCCAGGCTCCCTTCCCAGAGCTGGGCCACAGCCTTGCCAGCACCAATGCACCTCCCATCCATAGGGACCAGCTTCATTTCCAGCAGGAAGGTCCTGGCAGGTGCCTGCTGAGGCTGGGAGGTGGCTGGGCTGTGAAGGCACCCACAGCCACCCTTCATTTGTGGGGGTACAGCAAAAACACACACACACACACACACACACACACACACACACACCATCAGCTCCAGGGATTGCTGCTGGTATTCCTGGGTCAGCACCTGCAAAGTTCCAGCAACTCTGGAAAAAGCAAAAGCAAAGGTTTCAGTCCCAGACTACAGAAATGGGGTGGGGAACAGGAAAGCAAGGGTTTGGTGACAGGGTGCAAAGTGCCCTTGAGTGTGTGCCCCAGTGCACAGTCGAGCTCCCAAGAGAGTTTCTGGCAGTGGTGTTTTGGTATTTTGTATTTTTGTATTTTTATACCATTCAAGTGGAATACGGGGAAGATACAGAAATAGATTGGGAAGGGGAGGCAGGCAGGAGGAAGAGGGGAAAAGCCAGGCTGAGCTGTGCTCTTGGGGTCTCACTGCATCACCAAGGAGCCTGTCCCCAATTTCTCCTAAAGCAGTGGGCAACCACAGAGGTGACAATCAGGAATGGTCAAACCTGAAGGCACTCCAGCAGAGCCTGCCATGGAATCAGGGGAGGGGCTGAATGCAAAGGAGCAGAAATGGGAGGTTTAAAGGCCCTGCTCGTGTTGCACAGCCCCTTTCCTCCACCTGCAAGCTGTTGATAAGCTCTGGATGCCTTTGAGGGGGGCAGTAAGCCAAGGAGAAGGGAATGGGATGGAGGTTGGTGCTGTGCAGGCAGGAGTGCAGTGGTGGGGACAGGGTTCAGTGGTGGGCTCGGCAGTGCTGCCATAATGGTCCAACCTGATGATCTGAGAGTTCTTTTCCAAGCTGAGAAATTCTAGGATGGTGCCAGGGAGGAGCAGGGAAGCTGCCAAGGCCGAGACAGCAGCCAGGCATTTGCAAGTGGTCTCTGAGTAGCCACACTGCAGCTGGGCAAAGCTTCTGGGACAGGGACAGTCAGGGGACACCTGTGGGACACCATTTCCACGTGGCTGCAGGTGAGCCTGGCTCCATCTGTGCCTGCCCAGCCCATCCCAGGACATCCCAGCTGCCCATGAAGGATCCCTCACCCTCACCCACGGGGCCTTTGATGCTCTCCCAGAGTGTTCACAGGTGGCAGGGGAGGAAATAGCTGCTCTGGGAATCTGGAAAGAGATTATTGAAATATCTTTTTTTAAAAAAATAATTCATAATCATAGTAATAATTAGAATTACAAAGGAGGTTTTCGAGGGGCAGCTGTTATCCACTCTGCTCACGTGCTGGCTTTGCACAGCTGCACAGGGAGAGGTAGCTGACAGCAGGTACTTTTAATCTTCTCTTTCCGTTCCCAGCACCTGCTTTTTAAAGCCACTGAGCAGCCAGGAAAAAAAAAAAAAAAAAAAAAAAAAAAAAAAAGCTAAAAGATGATGGCTAAATATATCCCAACTAAGAGGAGAGACAGAGCAGCACTAATGGCAGATCCTTCCTTGGATGCATTCAAATTGGTTTGGCTCGGAGACAGGCTGAGGGAAGAAGCAGCAGATGAGAAACAGTAGAAGAAGGGATTTAGGGGGAAAAAATAAGGGGGATAGAAAGAAGCCAGAGGGACTGATAAATCCCACTACACCCATTTCCAGAGGAAAACAAGCCCATTTAATTTTTGCTTTTAAATGCAACCCCATGCAGCCCACAGAGCAAACACTCACCTTTGGCAGGGAGAGTGGGTGAGGGAGCCCTCAGTGTGCCCAGGGCCAGATGAGATCCAGGTCACTGCTTTTCCTGCTGGCCAGACCTGCTCAGGAGATGCTCAGCCCTTCCTCACTGAAGCCCCTCAGGGTTTCTGCAGTAAATCTCTCTTTTTCATACAATTTCCCACTAAAACCTAACCTGGTCTCAACTGCCCTGCTCCCTGCTCGTGCCTCCCCTTCCCCCTTTGCTACCCAGGATTGCCCTCAGCTGCTGCCTGACCCTTCCCCAGCAATCCCAGGTTCCTCCAGACCCCCCAAACTGCCTGGTGACTCTCACCCTACTCCTTTTCATCCCTCCCTGGTTTATCCCATAAGGATGAGGCTTATCATCCAGGTCTGAGCTGCCTGCTGGAGCACGGGGTTGCTTTTATGGTCTGGAGAAAGATCTTCTTTGGATGGTGAAGATTATTTTCGATCCATCCACGCTGCTCCTTTTCCCAGGAGCTCCCAAACTGCTTCTCCTGGTGCAGGGATCAGGCTCAGCACGTGTTTGCACCTCTGGCTGTGATGGGTTTGAGGTTTGGGGCAGGGAATCCATCACGGGCTGCACTCAGAGGACAGCAATGTGCTGCTGGAAGGCTCTTGGGATTTTCCTTCCTTGCAGGTCCTACTGACACATTTCTGACTCATCTCCCCAAACTGGACCTCTGGGGAGGCTGGTTCTACATTGCTCCAGCTGAGCCATGGACAGCTGGGAGCCAACACATCCCCACTCTGCTGCCCATGCAGCGTGTCTGCAGCAGCGAAACCAGGGGCTGAGGAGAAACAGCTTCTCCCCTCCTCTTCCTCTGCAGCAATTTGGCTTTGGACACCCCTCCATCCCCAGGATTTCAGCTTTTCAGACACTGAGGCAGAGAACAAATAGTCTCAGGCTGTTTATTACATCCTCAGGGTGTCTGTACAGAGCAGGGGTCACACTGCACGACATGGTGATGCGACTCTGGGGTATCAACACTGGCGGGATTGGTGGCATGGCTGAGGAGCTCCTCCAGCCTCCCAGGGAAGGGAGCAAACAAGCAGCTGATGCAGGGGGAACCCGGGGAGCCCAGCCCATGCCTTCCCCTGAGTGGGAAAGGGTCAGACTGAGCAGCCTGTGGCCTGCCCAAAGTGCTCCTGCTGATGTCTCCCCACGGCAGCAGCGCCCGGACGCCGCCGAGGCGACAGCAGCAGCATCTCATGGAAATAAAAACGTGGCAGAGGGAAGCACTTTGGAGCTGTTCCCTTTACCTGGTGGCTCACTTCTGAGTTCACTGAGCCACCCACGAGTTCATTTCCAGAGGAACAAGACATCTTTGTTGTTTTGAGCAGCCTTACTGGGCGCTTGGGCTTGCAGTCAGGTCCTCAAGGGGACACAAGGTGGAGGTGCCAAGGAGCTTAAGGACAAATCTGAGCTCTGATTTGGGTAACTCATGGAAGAGTTGGGGGGAGAGGTTATAAGAAGATGAGATCTTCAATTGTGGTTCTTAAGGAAGGGGGATCTACCCCAGGGTGTGCTTGTACCCTGCTCTCTTCTTTGCCAGGAGTCCCACAGAGGTCAAGGGGTAAACCCAGCAGAAGGTGCCTCCTTCCCCTCACTGCTTTCCAGCTGGTGGCTGCGGGCACTGACAGAGCAACATGAAGACATTTCTCTCAGGATGTTATCTACTCTGGAAATGCAAAGCTGAGCAGCTCCTCGTCATGTTTCAGAGCCAGCCTGGGGCACACAGCACATGAGGCAAACTGGGGAGGTGTGGGGCCACTTGAGACAAACAATTCACAGCACAGCTGGTCCCCAGAGCTCCCTGGTCCCTCCAGAAGCAGGCACTGCCTTTTCTCCCGTGTCTTTTTGCCAGGAATGGTGGATGTTTTTGGTGACAAGCTCATCCCCCTCTGCCACCTCCCTCCCACGGCCTCAGTTCCCTGAACTCCCGCTGAGTTCACCGCAGTCCCAGATTAGAGACACATCCTCCTGTAAAGCCAGGAGGAGGCACAGAGCACAATGACTGACTTTGACGAGCAAATACAACCCACACACCTTTATTGAGACTATTTTTATAAACCAGAGGGCCACGGGGGTGCCCAGCTGGGAGTGACCCCGGCACAGCTGCCCTCTACCCTAGCCAGCCCCTGCCACAAGCACTGCATGTGCAGCGTGCATGGAAGGAGGAGAAAAAAGAAGGAAGACAAAAGACTTGGGGACAAGATGAGCCTCTGCAAAGCCCAAGGGGTTCGTGGGAGAGAGAAGCATTCTGGTCTAGCAGCAAAATGAACTTTAATTCCAGTTCTGGGATATAATGCTACGATGCCGGAGAGAGAGAGCACAGCACCAAGGAAGGAGACAACTGCAGCAGCCCCAGGGATGAAAGATAATGCAGAAATGATGTGAAACGTTTTGTTCTTATATAACAGGCAAGGAAGAGCTCGTAGGCGCTTTACAGTGGCAGTAGGAGGCGTGTGGGAGGGAGATGGCATGACCAGAGACGTGTCTGGGGAAGGGAAAGGCAAAGAGGAGAGGAGGGATGGATGGGGATGGAGGAGAGGCAAACTGGGGGAGGTTAGGGCAGTCCCAGGCTCAGACAGATGAGGACAAACAGTGCTGGTGGACAGGAAGGTTTGGAGTGCTTCGAGGAGGAGGAAGGGGAGGGAAGACAACCAGGACAGGACAGAGAAGGAGAGAGGAGTTTGGAGGGAGAAGCCAGAGGCCCCCAGGGAGGGGAAAGCTTGCACTGAGGGGGGAGAGGCACTCCAGGACTGGCATGAGGTATGCTTTGCTATTGCTCTGAATGCTGTAAACATTTTGGTTTTGTGTCTATCAGTGAACATTCAGTTCAGTTTGATACATGTGCTCTTAGGGGTAACTGGAAGCCTAGCAGAGTTTTACATCTCTTACTACTACTCGGACTTATACACGAGGCAAACACAACACTGGCTAAAGATCTCAGTTTATGTCATTTATGCCTAATTCTCCTATTTTTAACATGCACATCTATGTCTCAGAAAAGCTTCTCTAGTAGAGGACACTAAATAAGATACAGATGAAGTCACATGCACTCTCATCCACCCACACCCCCAGACACACACAGCAACTTCCCCCTCCCCTGCTTAGACTGGCAAGACTTTGCCCTTCACACCTCCCCAGCACGGACAACAGGGAGCCCTTGGTGCATTAATGAGTCCCCTAAAAGTGATGGAAATCATCCCAAGCCTGGCTGATGGACCAAAGCAGGAGAAACTTCAGACAGGTCAGAGTTCTGCATCTGATCCTGGAGTTAACACCACCTGAAGCTCATAGAAAAGGGAAAGGAAATTTGTAAACTCTTTTTCCCTTCTGCCATCAAACTACCTGGGAGCTGACTGGATATGTGCCAGCAAAGAGAATAAAAAGAACTGAGTGAACCAGTTTTTTTTCCCCGCTCTTCATGTGATGGCACACTTTAACACTTTAACAGGAGGAAAATTTGGGGGGTGTGTGCTTGTGGAGAGGGGAAATGGGTTTGTGGGTTGTGAATATCCCTTTCACACCAGAAAGAGATGAATCAAGGATAGGATATTTGCCCTTGGTGAGGATTAGTCACCACTCAGCTCTTTCCAAAGCTTTGGCTCAGTCATTGTTCCCTTGATCAGCCCCTGGTTTAAGGGGTAGAGCTACAAGCTGCTTATTTTGATTCACTTCAGAATGGCATTTGGCATAAAAGAAGCAGCTGGTGCCATTTTCTTGTTTAAGAAAAATAGAATTTTACTTTAAATAACTAGTCTGCTTTCCTTCCAGAGAGACAAACTGCAAGAGCAGCAACAAAAATAACTGTGGCAGACTCACATGCCTCAGACAATACTGTTGCTCCCCTCTGTGTTCTGGGATGCTGTTCCCAGTGGAGGGCCTTGCCTGGCACCAGTTTAATGGGGAAAACACTTGCCCTGCACCAGCCAGCCTGATTCCAGGCAGAAATGGCATCTCCAGGTGTGCCCTGCTCCAGGCAATTCCCCAGGTGGGTGGAGGAGAGAAAGGAGCTTGGATTTACAGGGTGTTGGCCACTTTGAAGTGAGTTCTGAGGTGAAATGGAAGGACAGCAGCACCAAGGCTGCTGGAGGACCTTGTGGAGAGATGGAGTCACAGGAGTCTGAGCAGGACCAGGCTTTGTAGCCACCAGGGGAGCCTGGGGGTTGTCCCCACTCAACACAAACCTCACACAAACATCTGGTTCCTGCTGTGTCCCCTGGCCTGGCTGTCTCTGTGACCCTCCCCAGGGCACTGCAGAGCCTTGTCTGGGGTGCCTCAGCTGGCACCAGAGGTCAGCACCACCCAAGCCCACTCAGAAAATCTGTCTGGAGAGAAGAACCACGAGTGTGGCCTTCTGCCTTCTCTTTGAAAGCCATGACTGCTTAAGCCTCCTGCTGCTGGCTCTGGCATCCTGGGGTGCTTTCTGCACATGCAGGCAAGAGGAGGGTGGAAAGGAGGAAGGCAGGGCCAGACAAGGTGGCCTCTCTTCACCACCTGCAACACTTGTTCTGATTGTTTGGGGCTGAGCTGCCCTCTGGCAGCACTGGGGTCACTGGGTAAAACTGGGACCTCAGGCTGATGCTTTAAGATTTTAGCTTTTATGTTTTCCAGATCCTGTAATGCTGTACTGGTGCATAGCTCTGAACTCCATGTAAAGTGTGGTTAACTGTCTTCACATTTTAGTTAAACAAAACAATCCCTTTGGGTGATCCAAAGACACCTCACTGCCTGAGGCCATGAGAAGTACAAATAAAAGTGAATTATGGGGGAGCAAACTGGGGAAATGTGTCTTCATTACCTGAAGCTGTAACTGGAGGATTAACCCCTGATATGTGAATGGATCAAAATTATAATTGTCTGAAAAACTCATGGCCATTGTCCATGCTGGGTGTGGCCTCTGTGAGGCTTTTGCACTGCCCAAGGTGCACCTGTTGGAGGCCTTTAATAAATATCTCCTTTCTCCTCTTAACTCTGTCTAGCCTGTGGTCTTGGCAGTCACTCCAAGGCATCAATTTTTGGTGACCCATTCCTTGCACAGGTTCCCCAGACCTGTCCCACTGTGCCTGGCTTGCCATAAAGCTCTGGGACACTGAGCTCCTGCATGATCTGCTGCCCTTGGAGAAATCATGGCAAATCTGGAGCATCTTCCAGGGGTCCCTCACCTCTCCCACTTTTGAGCAAGCGGCAAAAATTTGTGTCAAACTGCCAAGGGCAGCCCTTTCTGTCCCTTGTGTCCCATGAGGAGCCTCCTGTGCCTCAACAGTGCCCCCAGGGATCCTTGCAGGGGCAGAGGACAGCCAGGAATTCTGGGTCACTGCAGCTCTTCCTGGCCATTCCTCATGGAAATTTAACTGGAGGTGGGATTTGCCTTCCACAGAGGGTTCTGCTGCTGACCAAGCAGGCACCGAAAGAGGCAGGTTTCCCTGCTGAACATAAAGATTGCAGGAACACACCTCCAGAATAAACCCAGCGTGTTTACCGCCTCTGTCTTGATCCTAAACCTGTTTGTCCTACTGCCCTGCACATCATCCTTGCAAAAAGCCTCAAAAAGCTGTCTCCTACTTAATTAATGGACAGTGATTTTTAATATCCAACCAGACTTTTTTTTTTTTTTTTAATCTTGTTCCAAACACATTGTGCTTGGCTTTAGAGTTCATCCTACCTCATTTACACCACGTTACACAAAGTCTTTATCAGCAGCTTTCTGATGTATCAAACCCACCCACCACCCTTGGCTGGAGCAGAGTTTGACAGCCTCTGGTCTGGGGATGACTGAGAGAAGGAAAAGATCCATAGGGTCACTTTCCAGGCCTTCATTAAATTAAGAAAACAGACCTCTGCTCTGTCGGCTCAAATCCACAGACAGGCTGTCTGCTTCTCCCCTCAAAAATATTGCAAGAATCTGCCAAGCTGGAGCAGCAGTGCCATGGAAATGGGGCCATCAGATGGCAGGAATTATTGCCCAGCACAGAGGAGGTGCTACACCCCTGACATCTGCACAGAGCCTTCTCCTGCAGCATCCATCCAGGCTATGGGAATAGGGCCAAGGAGCACCTCACACCCCTCTGCACACCCAGACACCCATCCTGCTCACCCCATGCTCTCTGTGTCCCACTGGAAGCAAGCACCCTGCAGCAGGGTGTGTGTCTTGGGGAGTTCTGAACCCACAGTGGACTGGTGGTGAGTAGGAACAGTCAGTAATCAGTAATAAAATAAGAAAAATGTGATTTTTCACCTTGCCGTGCACCAAGTGAAAAATGCCATCTGCTGTGCTTTTCTTACACCTCAGCAAGGGGCAGAGGGGGACATTCCTTCTCTCCACTCTTTCCAGGTCTTTCCTGAGGAGCCACCAGGAGCCCCTTTGTGCAAGCTTTTGGTCCAGTGCCCAGCACAACAGAGCCTAAATGACGACTGGGGCCCTGAGACTGAAATACCGCACAAATAAATAATAGCCATGAAAAACAATCATTCACATTAGAAGACTTGACTGTCCAGGCCTGGTGAGAGCTTTTGGGGTGACTTTCCTCACAAGGAAAACTCAGCTCCTCACACAGTCCTGTGGAGAATACTCCGAGTCCCCATCCCTGAAGGAAAAGGGTCGGTGACAGGGTAGCAGCCACGTCATGAGGTGTGCAAACAAAATGGGGAGGTGAGCTGAGTTTGCTGATGGTTTCCACTCCAGGAAAGGGAATAAATCCTGTGCTTTTGTCTCCTCTCTCCCTCCCCTCGGCCTCTGGGTCCAGACCCCTGGGAGAGGTGGGCTGGATGCGGCTGCACACAAGGGTCAGAACTGCCCTCGGGGCCCTTCTGAGCACAAAGGAGGGGTGAGAGACAGGGAGATGTGTGGGAGGATGGAAAGGTGTTATTTACACACAAACCAACCCAGCAATTTTAAAGGAAACCTGCCTTGCCCACAGATGACTCGAGAGGGTTCTGGGTTTGTGCTAGAGAGAGGCAACGACTGCGAGGTGCTACTGCTAACCAAAAATAAACCCAAAAGCACAGAAAGCCAAAGAGTCTTAATACCACGTCTGGATCACTCTCTGGAAGCTTCCTCTGCCCCTTCTCCCTCTTTTCCCGTTCCCACTGCTTTTAACACCAAGAAAGTTTCACATTTAGACATGGGTTTTGGCTGTTGTGGTTTCTGAGGGCCCCATGGCTGCTCTAGCTGAGCCTCCTCTGGGTCTGAGACAGCAGGTCTGTGTAAATTTTGGATCTCAGGAACCTGGGGTACGAGTCTTTCTCCATCAGGCTGTGCACCTTCCCCTGAGCTTGGTCAAAGCAAGAGAGGGAGGGCTCCTGCACATTTCTTCTGGTCAGCTCCCGAGTCTGGAAGTCTATGTTCACCTGGGGAAAGCAGCAGAAGAGAGTTTGGCACTGAGTGTCCAGCTGGCCTCCTCCAAATGTCACATCCCCTCTCCATGGGAATGGAGAAACAGCAGCAGAACCAAGGTCCTACCCTTAGCCATGCCTGAACAGCCCCCACAGCTCTGGGGATTTTAGTGATCCAGGGTTGTGAGTCCTGCCCCAAGGCTGGAAAAGTTGGATTTATAGTGATCTTATAGCACTTCTGGAATCAAATTAATTTTATTCAGACTCTTAGGCAGTGCATCACCTAAAACTGCTGACTCAGCTTAACCTCTCTCCTGCTCCCTTTTCTTCACCACATGCCCAACAGAGGGGTGAATAAACTGGGTTTAAACCATCAGTACATTCTTATTAAATGTTTCTAAACTCTGTTGATCTAAAATAAATTGTTTGATTTTTCCCATAGCAGCTTCATGTTACAATATCTGGAGGACAGGCTTGGAAAAAAAAAAAAAATAAACCACCCTAAAATGTTATGACTGCCACTTGTTTGCAAAACTCCAGCCAATGGAGTTTTCCTGCTTTCCTTCCCTAGCAGAGCAATCAGCACTTTTTAGGGTTATTGTCTGGAAGAAAAAAATGGCTGGAAAGATGTTATTTGTTGTTATTAACTGAATATCCAAACTTGAAGGAGCCTGGAAAGTAAAAGCTGTCTGCCTCAGGGTGGATGTCGGCAGTATGGCTTAGCTCTGTGCATTTGCTTAAGAATTTCATATTCCAAGCATGCCAAAATTATGTAATAGCGCTAAGGAAACTTCACCACAGGACCAAATTTTAGGAAAGGCTCCATCCCACCTGCATTCCCATTTCCTATCAAAAATCAGCCTTCCAGTCCTTAAAATCTCATCTGGCTTCCTGAATTACAGTGGGAAACACCCACGGACCTCGGTGTGAATCTGGGTCCTTCCCAGTGGCCTTCCCAGCTGGGACAGGGAGTGAAATGAGCCCATTTTGGGGTCCCTGACAGGCACCCATGGGGTGGAGCAGGAGGGGCTGGGTGCAGTAAGATTGCAGTAACCCAGTGCAGGATCTGACAGCACCATCAGCCTGTCAAGTGACTTAAATTGTACATATTTAAATAAATATTTTAATATAAAATATTAATGAAAATATTAATTTAAAAATTAATATCCAATATTTAAATTAAATAAGCAATTTAAAGGATTTAAAAATGGCAGGCTCTAGGTTGTTGAGCCCGCATTTTATTTTTTTTTGTTCAGCTCAGAGTTCATTTTTTTTGTTCAGCACCTCTCTGGAGGTCTGGGTGAGGGGGGAATTACTCAGCAGAGAAACTCTCCTCCCTTGGGAGCCAACAAGTTATCCGTGGGTGGGTTGGTCCTGTGCAAAGTGTCCTGTGAGGAAAGAGCCCAACATCCTGCTCGAGGGTTGATAGTAAATGAGAGCAGCAGGGTGAAATTGCTCCTGGGGAGAGCTGGGTGAGGTTAGGAAATGTAGGCTGAGGTTGCCAGTGAAGCCCCTGGCTGTGACTAATTTAATGTCACCAAAGCCCTTGCCCTCAGCAGCGATGAGTCACGGCGGGCTGTGACTGAGGGGTGGCACTGCCACCTTCCTCAGCCTCTCCCTGAGAGGGGAAGGGAGAGGGAGAGCACCCAGCTGGGGTGCTGAGGGGTGCTCCATACCCACCTCCTGAGGGGCCTGCACGTGAGGGGTGCTCCATACCCACCTCCCGAGGGGCCTGCACGTGAGGGGAGCTCCATACCCACCTCCCGAGGGGCCTGCACGTGAGGGGAGCTCCATACCCACCTCCCGAGGGGCCTGCACGTCGATGAACTCCTCAAAGATGCGCTGGGCCTTGGAGGCCAGCTTGGCTGCCGAGCGCGTCTTCTTGAAGTCCTCGCAGGCCAGCCAGAACTCCAGGTTCTCCTCGCTGAACTCTGTCTTCAGGAAAGCACGGAAAGCTGCCAGCCCATCTGCAGGAGAGACACGGGGAGCTGCTGCTTTCACAGACATCCTTCCATCCACCCCCGCCTAGCGAAGGCCGCTTGATTTTTCTCCCAAATTCCGCGATCCCGGCACACGCCCGTAATTTACTGATTTACTGAGCTGCCCACCAAGCCAAGCATCACCTGATGTGACTTTTCTAAAGCATTTTCCAGCTAAGAGGACTGGGACCCTCACCCTTTGGAACGTTACTCATGGAATTATCAAGCTTCAGCTCGTGTTAATGCAACACTTTGTGCCGCTAAAAAAAAACTTTAATAAAACACGGCTGCTGCGGACTTGAGGCCTATGTTTTCTGTCATTTTGCTTTATTGCCTTGTGCCATTTTTAGTTCCTATTTAAACAGAGGAAAGCTCTCAGAGAGTCTGTTACAGCTCCAATAAAGGGGAGAGGAAAAGGACTCGGCCTAATTACGGCTTGTCTAGTCAGTGGTAAAAGTGTGCTTATCACTCGCTAATGCTCAGCAATTGTGACATTTCAGTAACGCAATCTGAGTCAGCCGGGGCAGATTAGAAATATGGAAAGATTTATTAGGCAATCTGTGTCCTCTTAAAGCCCTGCCTGGGCCTATTTATGGACACAGCCATTGTTTTTTATTTCTTTTCCCTGAGCGACACCAGCGGCGTTGAAGTAGCTGAAGGTTTCACACATACCCTTTCTCCTCGGGATAAATTTAGCTTCTCTCTCTCTCTCTTTTTTTTTTTTCCATTTTTTCCCAGTAATGTGTTTTTAACTCTTCCTGGTCTTTTGCAATAGGGTGCAGTTCATGTTTTGTAGTTCATGACAGGAAAGCTCTTGAGTCAGCACTGGCTACTTCCAAGCAACTGTCTAAAAATATTGATGGAATTTGGGACGAGCCTGGTGAGGTCAGACTCCTGGGAAGGATGAAGAGAGCAAGGACAGGGCATGTCCAGCCTCTCATCCACCAGCATCCTCCAGTCCTTCTGCTGCTCTTGATCTGTTCATCCCCCAGCCTGGATTGATATTTGGGGCAATCCAGGTGCAGCACTTTACACTTGGTCTTATTAAAACTCATGAGACTTCCACGGGCTCATTTCTGAGGCCTGTCCAGATCCCTGTGGATAATCCTAACATTTTCTCCAGTTCCAGTTTATATGCTGTATATGCTATCTGTATATAGATATATATGGATATAGATATATCTGTATATAGATATATCTATCTATATATAGATATGCATGTATACACATATATATATGCCATATATAATAGATATGCTATTTATATGCTATCTATTTTCTGTATATATCTTTATGCCATGTGTGCTACAGATCTATAGCAATGTAACACTGCCCTGCATCTCCCTTGCATGTCCTAAACTTCCTCCTGCTTCCCTTGTTTCTGGTAATAACTTAGGACATGGAGATATTTTCCAGCTCCTGCTGAAGCCTCGAGCCCTAAGCAGTGGCCCTGGGTATTGAACAGCAACAAACAATCCTATTTCTGTCTGTGTGTCAGTCAGAGGAGATGTCTGACTGCCAAGATCCTCAGAGGGAAAGGCAGAAGAGATATTAGGGCAGACAAGCCCAAATTAGAGGCTAAACCTCTCTCTGCTCTGCGCTCCTCAAAGCTCCTTCATTAGGGTTTTGTTTTTTTGCACTGACTGCTCCATCAGCAGTCTGCTATCAGCAATAAAAATGGATCCATCCCATCTCAGCCATGCTCCCTCCTGCTGTCAGCCCCAGAAATAGCTGCATTATTCCAGCTCGTCCTGACACTTCTCCATTCAAGCAATTTTAGGAGGAGATCGGGGTTTTTGAGCTGCTAGGATAGACAGAACCGGGCCTCTTGTCCAAGTAACACTGCAGACTGTGGGTCCAAGCCTGGGGCAATATTGTGACAGCAATATTCAGCCCTGGAGAAGCCTGCAGAGCAGGTTGCCAAAGGAGCAGGGCACCTGCCAGGATTACCCTGCCCGTGGCTGCTTTGAGCATCTCCGTGGGAAGATAAATGTGGTGAAGGTTGTAGAGCTGCTGCCCTTGCTGAAATCTGGGACACAGAAACATTTTCCAAAACCTGTGTCCCCCTTAGCACCTCTAAAATTCCCAGGGCCTGTGTGTGAGAGCAAGGGAAGGACTGGAGAACAGGGCAAGGAGTCTTTGCAGGCTGACAGCTCTCAGAAAGAAAGAAATAAATCAGGGAGAAAGTTCCAGTTCCTCAAGATCTATGTCATTTTATAAATCATCAGCTCCTAGGATGCTTGACATGAAATATTCCAGCACCCAAGCACATTGCCATGTCTCTGCTGTGTCCCTGCTGAGGTCTTGCTCCCCTGATTCTGCCCTGATCTATTTTTTTTCCCCTTTTCCTCTACAACAGCCCCAGAGCCACAGCACTGACAAAGGATCCCTTGCAGGAACAGCAGTGTTGCACAAAAATGCCACATCTGCAAAAGGTGGCTGATGCAGAATATAATATCTGAAAAAATATGGTACCTGAAAAAATTTGAAATACCTGAAAAATAAAATACCTGAAAAAAATATTATATCTGAAATAATATCCTGCCTGAGGAATAAAATACCTGAGAAATACAATATCTGGAAAATGTAATACCCAGAAAATATAATACCCAGAAAATATAATATCTGAAAAATATAATGCCTGAAAAAAATATAATATCTGCTAAAAGAAGGGGATGTCATGAGTGACAAAGAGAGAAAGGTGTTTGCTACAGCCCTGCCCCAGAGAGCAGCTGCAGCAGGTTCCCCTGGGACCAGGAGGTTTCCATGAGCTCTGCCTCCTGCTCTAATGTCAATCAGCTCTTTTTTATCCTGAAATAAGTTTAGACAGTGAAGGGATAAATAATAGTGTCTGGCTGTTCTCTGCTTTTTATATACCCTCCTGTCATGCAGTCCTCACAGCCTTCGAGGAGCTGCAAGTGGTGAGGCTGAACCCTGCACGGGACACTTTGGATGCAGGAGAGGTCATCCCTGACTGCCTGGATTTCCAGAGTTTTCATCTTTAGCCCTTGAGTGCCTGCCAGCCTTTCCAGCTGTGCCTGCTGGCCAGGTCTGGGGAACTGCTGCCAAAAGTTTGTCATGGAACAATGACAAGTCTGATGGAAAGGGCAGGAGGACAATCAGGCGTGGGAACTGCCACCACCTGAGCTGGAATCTGACCTGGATATTGATATTCAATCTCCTCCCCTCCTTCACGGCACATCAAGGCTTTCAAGGAACGGTCACTCATGGATGATGAGCATTTCTAAGCTCATCCCACCCAACTGGATGTGTTTTTTCCCAGGGCAGCCACCACTGGAGTGCAGCGTGATATGAGCAGGAAGGAGATTTCACCTCCTGAAATCTCCCAGCCTGCAATTCCAAAGGGATGCTTTGCAGAGAAAGCACAGAAATTAAAAGCAGGATTAGAAGTCTGCAGAGGCAGCAGCACTAGGTAATCCCTAACCTGGGGCCCAAAAGCCCTCCACTCAGGAGGACAAGATGTGCTGGTGTACAACAGGACAGCTGCTGGACAGTTACTCAGGAATTTGACTCAGGAGCCCTTTGCTTGAAGCCAAAGGAGGAAATCAATGCTGATGGAGCAGATAAATTGAAGGCAAAGGAGCAGAGCTCTTTAGTGAACACTGAGCTCAGTCTGAGGGAGAAGCAGCAGACATTTTCTATTTTGCTTTGGCAAGGTAAATATAAACTTCAGAATGCCCTGCTCTCCGTTCAGACTGACTGAGGAACGTGCAGGAGGGGTTGTGCAAGTGCTCAGACGTTGCTCAGGATCCTGCAGGTCACCTGTGAGTTAAGCAATGACAGGGATTTGTATTTTATGAGTGGGCAGGGCCAGGCAGTTCAACAACCCTGTGAGCACAGGGACTCTCAAAATCCCGTTCAGGAGATGGAAAGTGGATCCTTTCCAGCAAGAAGAGACTGAAGTGGGGAGCAGAAAACACGAGGCAGGTCTTAACTAAGCTTCATCATCATGAGGAAGAGCCCAGATTAGTGGCCTAAAGCATCCAGGCAGTTTGATAACCAAGCCTGAGCAAGAAAGCAACCAACAATCATTTATTTAATGCATGTGTTTCACCCCCTCAGCAAGCAGGCTTCATGCAGGGAGTAAAGGTGGAGTCCCCATGGCTGGTGGATGGATGGATTGGCTCTGTGGAACGTGCTGGGTCCAGGGCTGGAGGGACAAGGTCAAGATAGCTCTGCACAGAACACAAAGGTGCTCTCACTGCTGCTGAGCTGTGCTTCCCTTAATCTCAGCTGCCTGTCAACAGCACAATGCTAATGCTGTTCTGGCTTAGAAAGAGCTGGGAGTAGGTTGGGATATTCCTGTGCTGTGTAGGAAGTGAAGGAATGTGTAGACAACAGAAGGAGGAGAACAACAATAAAGTTTGGGCGGAAGAGCACAGAGATCACAAAAAATCAGGAGAAAAATCACCCTGTCCTCCAGATTTCAAAAAAAATCTCGAGAAAAATCTCCCTTGAGATAAAAGTGGGAATTCAGCAGGAAGGGTTTTGGTGCTGGGTGCTTTGTTGAGAAGTGGCCAAGGGTTGAGGACAGACTGTCCTGCTGGGTGCTGGATGAAGGAAAAGCCATGTGTCCAGCCCCGTGAGGGACACAGAATGAGACATGCTGCTGCTTGTATTTCCCTCCAGCAGCCTGTCAAAAGAAATCCTCATCTGGCTGGCCAGCCTGTGCCTCCTGGGCACGGGCACAGCGAGGGGATTACTCCTCAGTTACTCACAGGCATGCACTCACGCTCTGGGGGCTGTGCTGAGCTCGCTTCCCCGGCACAAAATGGGAAAAGATGCCAAAATCCAGCGTGTTAAAAACGCTGTTTTTTCTCCCTGGGCACCCAGGGGAAGGCTGCACACAATCTGCCTGTTCCTCTCTCAATTCCCCGACAAGAGCAGCATCAGGCTCCCCTCTCCTGTTGCTTGCTCAGAAGCCCTGACCCCAGGGAATGTGTCTGGCAGTGAGCTCAGGGCTCCTGATGTAAAATAGGGATTGTCTGCCTGACCCCGGGGGTTTCTCAGCTGATTTCCTTCACCCATTAGCAAAAACAATTAGGATATCATTGCACTGACCTATCCATCCAGAGCTGCTGAATCCTGCTGCTCAGCACTGCTCACTCCAGGAGGGATGAGAGAATTGGGTCCCAGGGCCAGCACAAAAGCCAGGTGGGGAGAGCCCTCCTGCATCTCCTACTCACAATCTCTTGTTAACAGTCAAGTCAAATCACCCTTTGAATGGCTCAGGGAATTAATCCAAACCAGACCACTCTATGCAGAGGGTCACTCATAAACAAAATTGTTTCAAATCCCAAGGGATTTCAGTCCTCCTCTCATCAAACATGACCTGCACTGTCATTCATTCATCA